TACTACTACTACTCTCTCTCTCTCTCTCTCTCTCTCTCTCTCTCTCTCTCTCTCTCTCTCTCTCCTCCCTCCTCTCTCTCTCTCTCTCTGTTGAGTTTTCTAAGCATCTTTGACACTCAGTTTCTTCATGTAATTTCAGTCAAGTGTCTTCAGTATTGTTATCTAAAGACAGGTGGCCTAATTTTTCTGTCATTTGAAAAGTGTTATAAACAAGCAGCTTATCTTATTTCTGGTTTTCTTTTATCTTTGCTCCTCTGTGTCCAGTTTTGGAGGTCAATCCCTGGAGAGAGGATTCAAAGCCAGTTTATGTTCTGACTCAGCAGGAGAATCAGTTATTGACTATGAAAACACGAAGGAATCGCAGGTTTGCTTTGCTTTCCTGTGTCTGTCTTACTTGAACAAAGCTGCTTTGAGGACTCATCAGCTCCCATTTCCTTTTTTTGTTTAGTGAAGTTGAAAGGGAGCTTGGAATGTTGTTTTCTAAAGAGGGGAAGAGGAGATCGGAAAATGGAACTCATGGTTCATGCTCAACAGGTAGCACAAGATTCCATATGCTTGTTGAAGATGTCAGGGAAGGAGTTCTAGTAAGTATCTAGTAGCTCTCTTCATATTTTCTATCAAGAGGTAAAGAGTGGGTTGCTTTTCAGATTTAAGATGTATGTAATGCCATTATCTCCTTGTGTATCCAGGTCGATGCTTTTCACGTGTTAGTTTCTTGATGTTTCGTGTCATATCTTCTTGTTACCAATGGTGAAAACTTTTCTCACCCATGGTCCTATTTGAAATGATTGAGACTAATTTCCATGGTTCTGTTTCATGATGAAGGGTAATGATCTCCTTCACTTTCCTGTTTCTCTCTGAGGGATCCACTTTCTCATGCATTGTGGTGTGCAAAATATTTATAAAAAGAAAAGAGAAAACGAGCAGAGGACTGTGCACATTTTGTTGCAGACCTACGCTGATGGTATTTCTAATGTTGTAGAGAAGACCAATTATCCATCTTCATATCAGTATTTCCCAACTTAAAGAGAGAGGACGGAGAAGATGGGATAATTAGTCCTAAATTTGGTCATCTCACCAAACCAAGATGCCTCCGCCAAGGATAGACAGATTCTGAATGGAGCTTTGATTGCACACGGGTGTATACACTCTAGACATTAGGCCAAAGTCCTTGGAGTGGTATTTGATATTGCCTTTGAGAAGGCCTATGACTATGTCGATTGGGCCATTCTTGATGCTATCATGCTCAGGCTTTGGCTTGAAGTAGAGGAAGTGGATCTTGGTTTGCATCTCGGGTCCTTTTCTCTCCATCCTTATCAACGGTGCTCCCAAGGGCTTCTTCGCCAGGCGGTCCCCCTGTCCCCTTTCCTTGTTGTGCTGGTGGCTGCTTCAGAAAATCCATCGATAGACTCTATCAACACGAACTACTGGAGGGTTTCAAGGTCCCCAATAATGGTCAAGCGTCTTGCACCTCCAAGATGCTGATGATAGCCTCATCTTACACGGGGCATCAGAACAGAATGGCTATTTCTAGAACGTTTAGAGCTTGCCACGGGCCTCAAAGTCGACTTAGGGATATCCAAACTGATGGGTTGCCTTGGACTGCAAAACAACACTGCTTTGGCATCTAGACTGGGGTGTGGTACGATGATCTCCTCACTGAGTACCTTTGTTTGCGTTGTGCATGGGGAAGTCCAGCAAACAATAGTGGAACCCCATTGTAGAAAGGTTTGACCGCAAGTTAGCATCCTGAAAAGGCAGATTTCGTTTCCGGGCTGAGTGCATTACATTTATCAAGGCCACTCTTTCTAATCTCCCAGTCAACCAAATGTCCCTATTCTGCATTCCGACCTCCATTGCACGAATTCTTGAGAAACATATGAGGGACTTCTTGTGGCCGGACATAGAAGATCGTCGCTGCCTCCACTTGGTGGTTTGAGATATCGTCACCTTGCCAAAACACGAAGGGGGTCTGGGTATTCGTAATCTATGTCACTGCAATCTTGCACTCTTGGGAAATGGTGATGGTGCTTTGCCACAAAGCCAAATCCCCTCCGGCAGTCGGTCCTTAGGGACAAACATCACTTTCACCCCTTGGAGTGGCTAGCCTACCCTCCCTCGGCCCTTAGACCATCTGGGATGTGGCGGTCTTTGACTGCCAGCCTCATTCACTTCAAGCAAAATATCCAGTTCTTTACTAGGGAAGGAGAGTTAGATTTGGGCTTGGTGATAACCCATTAAAAGACACTTTCCCTTCCCTCTATCTACCGCCTTTCTTTGCACCCGGAGGCATTCATTAGGCACTTTTCCAAAACTATTGGCAATAGGAGAAATTGGAGCCCCAATTTAGAAGGTCACTCCAAGACCATGAGCTTGCACAGTTCATATCCCTCTCATCTTTGCTAGAAAACAACTTCCTCCCCCTTGTGGGATGAGATCGAATCATCTGGGCTCCGGTGGCTGTGTGTGTGCTTTCGATGGCCTCTTTTTACACCATTCTCCACCACCCCCCCCACCCCTCCCCCAGCCCACCTCTGTTAGCAAGGAGAGCATGGCTGAACCCAATGATACAAACGATTCAAACATCTTGTTGGATCACCATTCTAGCAACTGTTCTCACAGTGACAAGCTCAAAGTAGGGGATTCCAAATACCCAACAGATGCTCCATGTGCAAAGCTGCTTAGGAAACCAATGCCCACCTCTTTCTTCATTGCGAGCTGGCCGAAACCTTATGGTCATACATCCTTCAGACCTTTGGTTGGGTTTGGGTTACCCCACAGTCCGTTACCTAACCATTCTAACCCTTTATCTCTCCACCATTCCCGGCATCAGGCATCTTCCTTCGGCGGGCTTCAGTGTGCTGCTACTTTATGGACCTTGTGGCCTGGGAGGAATGCGAGAATTTCGAGGCTACGGTGGCTAACCCCAATGCTCTCTTGGCCTGTATTAGAACTGTGGTTATCCTTTGGGCTTGAAACCACAACACCCTCAAAAGCCTTTCCACATCTGTCTTCCTCAGCAGTTGGAGTAACATTTGTCTTCTAGAACAGCTACAATTTCCCGCTCTTTGGTGTGGAGATCTCCCGCTCTTTGGTGTGGAGATCTCCAGAGACAAATCAGATCAAACTCAACTTTGATGGTTGCTATCTTGGAAACCCAAGGCATGCAAGATTTGGAGGGCTCTTTATAACCATAACGACGATATCCTTCTTTTCTTATCTGGCCATCCCGGCCAATGAGGATTCCACCATAGCGGAATCTATGGCTTTGTTGAAGGGATCAAGAGATTCAACTGGGATTGGGGGGATTCCTTTGTTGTTGAAGGAGACTCCAACAACGTCATTGCTTGGGTCTTGGGAACCTCTGCCTGTCCATAGCCCTTAATAGAGCAAAGTGGCAAAACTGGAATTGTGTAGCCAACCCAAATAGTTGGGGTAAGGCTTGGATGATGATGATGATTTCCTTTCTTTGTAGGTACATTTGCATCTCCTTTCAGCAATATTTGGCAGGAGGCCAACACTGGCGTACATAATTTTGCCAAAGAGGGAGCGGTTGCCAAGGGCAATGGATGAACCTAATGAGTGTATTTGCTAGCAGTTCAATATTTTTATTTTTTTCTGTGTCTCTTTTCTTCTCCTATACAGTGTGCTGCCTCTGGCACCATTATTGTTTATTGGGTTCTTTTTCTAGCACCATTTTTTTTGTACATGGTCGCCACTAGCTGGCCTGGTAATAGGCCCATACAACATATATAACTTTTTATATATGGTAAAACAAATCATTGTCATCATTTAAAAAAAAAAAAAGATGGGATTCCGAGTTACGTTTATGAGAATCTTCCTATTTGATAATCTATGTCCACAGCATTGATAGAGAATGATAACATCTTTTGATCGAGTCATAATACATTGTGTAGATACCCCGATCTCAATTGGAGAAGTTATGGATAAGTTGAAATGTCTCAGCCAGACCACCTGGATATTTTAAACCATTCACCCCACTAGAACCTCTTCTCCGTAAACCTAGCTTCCACCAAACCCTTATTGCTCCAGTGGGACCAAAGGCGTCAAGAGGCGAAACAAGGCGAGACAGACTTAGAACGACCTGATCATGAAACATTTCAGAATGAAAGGCTATGATGTTACCTCAACGGGCACCAATGCCCTACCAAATGTCCAATGGCAAGATACCAAAGGCACCTCAGTCATCACATGGGCGACCCGGAAGACCAGAAGCCTAGTGTCATTCCCAATGGTGTCAGCGCCAGTCCAAATGGTGCCAAACCCCCGGCCCCCCTTATTGAGCTCTAGAATGCACAAAAGCCTGGCGACAATGCCAAATGCCCCCAGTGCCATTTCCACTAGCGCCAGGTCCTGAGATATTCACTTGGCAGGAAACAGCCTGGCCAATGTGACTGAAGTGATGGGCTGACATGTTTCTCTGTACACGCCGACATGGCAGGCCCGTGTTGACATGTCAAACGACAGTTTGGCTCGACGTTGTCGAATTCTCTTTGGTTGATGATCAGACGAAGGTACAACCACAACGACGTGCCAGCTGGTATCTGGCGGCAGGTCAAATGCCATCGGGTTAGTTGGAATAGCTTGAAGCTGTGATTGGTCCATCTAAACCTGATCAGAGTCACCAGAACGCAACATGTGTCCAGAACAGTGTTTGAAGGCAGTCAGAATGCCGCCGGTGCCATTGCCCATAGCGCCAGATTCTGACAAGTCGTATGAAAGCCGCATTAATGAGCAATTAATATTCACTGACCATCATTATTACAACATTAATGATATGGCGCCATTTCAACCAGCGTCAGCACCAATCCAAGTGTCGCCAAAGTTCTTATGGCCTAAAAATCGCACAAAACTAACCTACAAGCTGTCATAGGTCCATTTTGCCTATAAATAACCCCTTTTACCTCATCCAAAAGGCTCGGACTTGAGCTTAGGTTATGCCCAAATTCCTTTAGTCTCGATCCCTAGTTTGAGCTTGAGAGAAAGCCCCAAGGTGAGCCCACTTGAGCAATCCCCCATTCTACCAAATCCCTTCATTCCAAAACTACAACTACAAACTCCTTCAAGCTACACTTCAAACCGAAGGCGGTCCGGATAAGCAGACCATCCGGGCCCTCTTCTTCCTATTTCTATTTGCCCCGTTAAAAACTGAGAAATTTCGCGATCGACTGTGCAACCATACGATCTGAATCGAAGGCCCAGCCTAAAGCATCACTTTATTTTCTTTTTATTACTATTTCTTGTATTTATTGCTTTTTATTCACATTTATGATTTTTACCCTATTTTCCTTTATTATGATCCATTTATCTCTCCTTGCTTTCATTTAATGTAGTATTTATTGTCTTTATTTAGTTATGGTTAGTTCTTTATCTTTGTCTCTCAAATCTCTTATTTAAGGTTCTTATTAATTAGCATTCGATCTTCTTTTCATCTTTATTTTGGTTGGTATTGATTCCCCTTTCCCCTTTTGTTCATCTCATAGTGTAAGGTTACCATTCTCTTTCTCCTCTTATCCCCCTCATTATATGATCATTTTTCCTTTTTCTCGTTGTATTTATTATTTTTGATTTGTAGCATTTGCTTCTCTGTCTTATTTTTTTTATGTGGTAATGTAGATCTTCTCTTCTCATCATTGTCTCCCATTCTCTTTGTTAAATAGTTTCTTTTCTCTTCATAGTAATCTTCATTCCTTGATGTTTGTGGTGTTTATGCCCTTTTCCCATTTTGCCAAGGTCCCCCTTTTCTCCCCTCTTCGTTAATGTATATTTACCTTCTCTATCTCTTATGAGCATCTATTCTCTTGGTTTGCTACATTAATACTTCCTCATAGTTTTCTCTATTTGATAGCATAAGCCTTCTCTCTCTTCTCATCCAAATCTTTCATCTTTTTATTATGTGGTTGTTTTCTCTCTTTTTTATATTTCTTTTAATTTGTTGTATGTTTCTCTTTTCCCCTCTTACTCACTCAATAATGTAGATCTCTGCCACCTCTCGTCTTTTTCTTTATAGTGATTATTCGTCTCTTCTTTATTGTGCTTTTTCTATTTTAGTTAGGGAGATTTACCTTAATCTCTTCCCTTTCCCCTTATTATGTAGTTTAAATCTCATTTCTTTCATCCCGCTTATTTCCTACTCTCTTTCATACTCACTTTATCTTTTTCCCGTATATTTTGTTCAATAGCTTAGGCTCTCTCATCCCTTTCTTATTACATTTATCTTTCATGTCTTTCATTATCTTCTATTAGTAATCCGCATTCATCTATTCTTCTCTTCCCCCTTTTAATGATCATTCCCTATTTCTCTCCATCTCATTCATATTAACACTCTTTCTTATGCTCTTTCTTTTTGTCTCTTTCTTGTATTTAGTTTTGTTACTCTCATTGCATGTTATTTATTAGTATTAGCTTCCTTCTCTCTACCTCTCTTCCATTTTATTTCTTCTCATGTTATATTATTATCTTTATTCGCATTTCATACTCATATCTCTCTGCCTTATTTATGAGGATCTCATATCTTTGCTTCTTTGTAACCATGCTCGTATTTCCATATTCCTCTCTCTTTCATTCTATGTCATGCATGTTTAGATTAGACTCATTCTCTCGTCTCCATGTTCTTTAATTTTTTATTTTTTCTGAATCTTGTAGTTAGATTCTTCACCCATGTTTATCTATATTTCCCTAGTTTAGTCTTTTATTTGTGGTTCTCTTCCCTTGTTTTTTTTTTATCCTTTGTATCTCAACCCCTTTCGAAAGCTTTCTTTGTTGAGTTCCAAGGTTAAGATAGTAGGGAAGCCGGCTTTGTTGGCAATCCGAGAGGGATAAGGTCTTAGGACCCTACTCTCCCTCGGAACGTAATTTGACGGGACTCATACTCTATCAACTTATCGATTTGTTTGCACCCAAAACCAAGGCGGAGGCGAAGTCCCCTACCCACAATTTCGAGTATAAACACACTGATACTATTAAAAGTTAAAAAATTAAAATAACTATTTGTATGGAAGCATGTTGAAATTGAAGGGGAAGTTTTATAGGACGGCTATAAGACCAACCATGCTTTATGGGATGGAATTTTGGGTGGTCAAAAAAAACATATCCATAGAATGAGTAGATCTGAGATGAGGATGTTGATATAGATGAGTGGGAAGACAAGAAAGGATAAAATTTGAAATATGAATACATCTGAAGGAATTTAAGGTAGCTCTATTAGGCGATAAGATGAGGGACAATAGATTATCTCAAAAAAAAAAAAAGATGAGGGACAATAGACTTAGGTAGTCTGGCTATGTGCAGTGTCGACCTAGAACAACAACCAATTAGGAGGGTGGAAGGGTTTAAAAGGGCAAGGGGAAGGTCCAAAAGGACTCGGGTAGTAATAGTAAGAAAAGATATAGTGACTTATGGTCTGATTGAGGGTATATCCCTTGATAGAGCGGAATGGCAGGATAGGATTCCTATAGCTAGCCCAAAATAGTTGAGATAAGGCTCAAATGATCATGTTGATTAGATTGAACATGTTGAAAATATTTGCATTTTTTTTAGTTGAAACTTGAAGCGACAAAGTTAGTTAGGAATTTGTATATAATATTGGAAAGTTTTCAAGAAAATTGTTGCTGTCTATGCTGATTCTCTTATGAATTGAAGTTGATGTGCTAACCCTTAATGATGAAATGGGACTTCTTCTTTAATACAAATGTATATGATTTGAATTCGTAATTTATGAACTTGGAAGTGGATATGGAATATTAAAGAAGTTCCTTGCGACTAGCCATTCTAGAATATGTTACCTCTTTTTTCCATATATCAGTATTTCATAAGCTACCAAAACAGATCCAAATCACCGTTGGTACCATGTCCACTTGCCTAAAGATTAGCCAAGGTGAGATGGCTTTATGTCGCCAGAGTTGATCACCTCTAAATGCATAGCGTGGTACATATACAAGAGCATCTGATTAGAATAGTGAAAGACAACTCTGCCTCCAGGTATCACAAACACCTCTTGTTCCACTCATATATCGGAAGAAAGACCTCGGCTTCACATCCCACAACAAAGAGCCACCTCACCCATAGTACAAATTCCTCCAACCTCAAATCTTCTTAGGGATGATCTTTGTCACTCCTCTTGATAAAGAGGTCCCTTTTGTATGGCCAAATTCCCAAATCTGCCCCACTGTCATATAGGCGCACGCTCAACTCTGTTACTTTTTACGAGGTGTTGGGGTTGAACCACATCAGGGGCCTGTAAAACTGCCACCGTCAGAAACTATAGTCCATGATCTTTAAACTTAATGTTCTTGAACACTCTCTAGTTTGGAATTCCTTGAACCACTGAAGCCTTTTTAAGTTGTTAAATTTCTTTCTATTATGCGGCATGAGAATAGTATTTCCATGTCATTACTGGAGCATTGGATAAATTGGAGATGAAGTTTGTTTATTTGATGGCCGTGTATTGCCTGACATATCTTCCTGTTTCAGTGTATTGCCTAACATACCTTCCCGTTCAAAACTTAGTGACTTTGAGAAGTCGTTTGCTTTTGTATGGGACCTAAATATCTCAGTATCTCTGAATTATTCTGGTTTAGGTAGAGGGTCATGGAGTCAAGAGTCTTTCCACCTCATCCTATTGTAACACATTGCTGCTCCTCCTCTGAAGTAACATGCATTGGGTTGTAGATAACTAGCATGGATGACCAATAATTGTGATTTCAGGTTTTTGAAGACGAGCAAGATGCTACGAGGTACTGCAACTTACTGGAAGGTGGAGGTCAAGGTTGTGATGGTGTTGCAGAACTTGAAGCATCATCTGTAAGAGGGAGCATCTAATCTACTCAACAAACAGTTTGTAATAATCCGCAAGACTAAATATTGGCTTGCGGTGCTTAAATAAAAAGACTGAAGCAATACTCGGGGTTTCATTTGAGCAGGTCTTTGATCTCTGTCACAAGATGAGGGCTCTTGCTGTCCTGTTTCGTCGAGGAAGGACACCGCCTTTACCTAAAAGCCTTGAGCTCAACCTGAGAGCTCGAAAGCGGTCACTAGAAGATCGTGAGGAGTTAAACTGAGGCTTCTGCTGCAGATCTTACACTGGCGAGGGAGACTCATGTTATGTAATTATGTATAGAGAGTGATATCTCAGAGATGTAACCCCAAATGCGTCAAGGGGAGTAAAGATCCTAATCCGCTCATTTATTGCTTACTTTGACATCTTGCGTCCTATGGGCATCGGGAACTGATATATCCAAGCACATAAACGTGTGCTCTAGTTTATATCAGATTAGTAAAGAACTTAAATTCTGCTTATTTAAATTACAAATAAAAAAAATCAAACCCCATAAAAGTCAGCTTTTGGTGGATGATGATCATATTCCACCATCTTAAGCAGTAGAAGAGCATGTAATTGTTACTCAGCACGTAACTGTTGCTGGTGGCTATGTTGCCAGCCCCAAGCGACCTAGACCAGTTAATATGATTGGATGTTTTGGCGATGTTTCTCAAGCCAACCCATGAATGAATGGTAACCTATTTAGTGTGCTCCAGCTATTCAACAATGAGATTTGTTTCATTTCCCCTGCATGTAAGAATAAACAATGCAAGATGGTCGCTCACCTATTTAACAATTAAAGAAGGAAAAGAGTGGGAAACGCAGGCTCGTGTATAGGCTTCACGCATGCCCAACAGCCCTGATTTCCCATCCTTCATCCTACAGTCGTCTTTCCGTTTCTCTCTCTCTATTCCATGTCTCTCTCTCTCTCTAATCCATCTATCCCCTCTCTCTCTCTCTCCCCTTCCCGCACTGCTGTCGCTCCTGTATATGTGTATCAGAAACCCCATCCTATATATTGGAGCATCGAAAGTCCAAACTGGGCCTTAACATTCAAACCCGATTTCTTATTTTTATAAAAGGGTGCTGGCCTCCGCTTTTATCTACTTATTCTCTTTTAAGTGTTGAATGTGACCAAAGTGGAGGAATCAAGAATCAGTACCCTACACAAAGATCTTTCAGAGCTCTACGACGTCCGAACCTAGAAGTTGATTTTATCAGAAAAAGGCCTCGAGGACCCTCGAGTGTGAACCCTGAAATTGTGGGTTGTTCCATCGCATTTTGTCTTAGATTGTTTTATTCTTCTTGCTTGTTTTTCTGTTACCAGCTGTAATATAACATTTGTAATGAATGGTCTAAATTGTGCTTTAGATAGGTTTAATGATGTAAATAGGTTATGATGTAGGGGTGATTTTTGAAGCTCTATCTTTAGGGTTTGGTGATTTATCTAGAGGTGTGTGGATATGGACCTTAACTTGTAAGCTTCCTTTACCATTTGGATCCGTTAGCAGGTTTTTCTTTTTGTCCTTTGGCTAGATCATTTCCTCCTTGTATCCTTCTCTCAATAGGTCGATGTAGAATTATTTGCACAGTGTGCAAGGGATGATAACGTTGACGTCATGGGAAAAACTTGTGTGGCTGTGGAGGGTATAACTTTGATATTACCTAGGGTTTAGGGTCTAGAGTGAAAAAATTTGAAAAAAGAAAGGTAGTAGAAGTAAAATAAAACTAAAAGCAGACTTAAATAATTCAACTAAGCTTTAAAAAATAGATTTAAAGAAAAAAAAACCTATAACTAGGGATTTTTAAAAAAATTTAAAAGAATATAACAGAGATGTTATTGCAAAAATAAACTCACTCATCTTTATAAAAGAAAACCAAATCATCAACAAATTTTTTTTAGAATATTTTTTGTATACCCTTAGTTGCAGAGTTACTCGCCCGAGTCCACAGGTCCGTAATACTATTTTATTCTATTCTCCATGGATCTCTATTTTGGTTTCTAATGTGTTGCGTGCAAGCGGAAGAATGAATGGCTCCTCTGGTTGGGCTCCTTACATATTAGATGATGATAATGATGCTCTCTGTTGTTTAGTAAGGGCACACATCATGTTGTTGGTATTAGATGATGATAATGATGCTCTCTGTTCTTTTAGTAAGGGCACACGTCATGTTGTTGGTATGATACCTGTATCATAACATACAAAGGTCTCGGTACATATAGATGACAAAAGGTTGCAAACTTATATTATGGAAGTAGGGTCTACACCTCAAAAATCCCATACAAAAGAGTGTTTCGATGTTAAAAACTTCTTAATTGACCATTTGAAGTTTCAAAAAAAAAAATGCATCGAGTAACAAGTTATGTAGACTGTTTATTTTTAAGATCTTTAAGGGTTGAATAGATTTGTTCATCTACAACGTTTTTAAAATTTTAAATTTCATAAACATGGATTTCAAAGCATCTTAAAATTTGCATCACCTCAATCATATCATCCTACAAAATTCAAATTTAGAGGTGCACTTTTTTTGCATAGTATAAGGTGTGGGCACCTCACCCTTGTTACAAAAGACGCATACTTAAAAAATAAAATGAGACCGTAAGCGGCAAGGGGGTGCGTAGATCGCCAAGGTCATGAATGGCATTACGAATAAGAATGTGCAATATTGAGATAATAAAAGGAAGGAAGTAGGCAAGGCAAGGCGAAGGCGTTGATGGATTCAGTGTGTGGTATTGGTTTGGATAAGGAGGCCGAGGCTGTGGCTTCATCGTTGTTGCCATTGCAATTGATGTTGGTGGAGGCGATCCCTCGTGAAGTCCCTGAAATCAGAGAGCAGGCATCCGTTCACTCGATCCTTGGTGCTCATCAACAGTCTCTTCAACACCTGCACACATTATTATTATTATTGCCTATCAATAACGAAGCAAATACAACACCATAACGAAGCAAGGGAGAGAGTCACAGACCGCGTCGGCCACACCGCTGCGAACATCCTCAGGGATGAGAGCGAGGACAGGAGGAAGAATGAAGCTAATGCTGATCTCCAACTGCCCTTTCAGTCTACTACTGGTACCACTGCATTTCATATTCATATTTTCCTGCTGCTTTTCTGAATAGAGGGCTCCCCTTACCCCAAGTGTGAAATCATCGGGTTTCAGCACATAGTCAAGACCTCGCAGCTCCCATCTCATCTGTGCCACAACATGCTCACTTAATAACTCTCTATTTATTTTTGGTTTGGGTTTTGCTTTTCCTCTTTCCTCACACAAAAAAAGAGAGGATGTTCATTCGATGATACTCACGGCTTCGAGTGTCAAGACCTTGGGGATGGTGGAGGGGACTCCTGGGGGGTATCTGTTGGCATCAGTCTCACATTTGAGCCTCATGTCCACCACTGGGTTTGCTGTTAAAAATACAAAATGGATCGGCAGCATCTGTATCCTCCACTCTTCCTGCATCCACAAAGTAAACCTTCATTTTACCTTACCTGCTGCCTGCTGATCTGGTTTGGTTTAGTACAAGAGAGAGAGAGAAAGAAAGAGCAAAGGCAGACTTACGTGGTTGAGCCTAAGGCTCCTTCTCTTGTCAGGGAATATGGCTTCAAACACTCTTTCTCGCTGCTCCAGATACTCTTCAAATGGAGCCTGCACTATCCATGCAATGTTACAATTCAAACACAAACAACTGCTCTAAAATTGAGGGAGAGAACATTATTACAATTCAAACACACACACTTCCTCTAAAATTACCAGAGAGAGATGGGAGAAAATTACCAGGGGAGACTCATAAAGGGGGAGATCAGTGGCCAGACTTGAACAGTAGGTGGAGGGCTTCTGCTGCTGCTGCTGCATGCGCACTGCCACACCTCCTCCTCTCCTTCCCCATTTCAATCTCTCTACCTTCATCCCACCTGAACATCACATTCATGCATTGTCTTCACCTTAAGAGAGAGAGAGATGTTCTAGCTATCTACATCAATGAGAGAGAAAGAGAGATGTACCTCGATAAACAAGGAGGGACCGTGAGTGAGCAAGGAGCGACTTCCCTGTATTCATCTCACAATCCAGCCAGCAACCCTCCCCAATCCTCCATTTCAACTGCATTTGTACCTCATCCTTTTTTAACTTTTGAGATGGTAGGTCCTACTCCTACCATGCTATTCATTCATTCACACAAGCGCCACATAATTGAGGAACGTGCGCACTACACACGCAGATATTGGTGTGGTGATTTTACTACTACTATTATCGCCCTTGCAATCACAACCACCAGTCAACGATGATGCATCGAAATTACTAACAAATGCTGCTACTCGCGAAGCTCTTTGGTTGAAATGCTATTTAGTGTAGCTGAAGGAGGTAATGGATGGGCACTAACCTAGTATTGTGCCTCCTTAAACTAAAGAAGAGTGAAATAAAATGGTAGGGACCCCTTCTCCAAACCATGTAATATACCACTTCAAAAATATTTGCACAAAGCATTCTGCATGACCCCCATGATTTGACCCGAGCGTTCACCAACACAATATCATCCAAAACTCATAACCGTAGATTCTCGAACTCTATTGAAAAGGGATATTTTAGGATAGGGAACCCAAGTGGATTTAGGGACAAAATTGTCATTTGTGCCGATACTGCATAGGATCCAAAATTATGAAAGCCACACAACATGGGCATACAAGAGCGGGATGAGAGCTTCAATTCACCATAACAACAGAGCCCATAAATTTTTTCAAAGTTAATGTTGAATTAAAATCCAAGCCCCCAAGTATCGGGGCCTATATACACCCAAAAAAGGAAAAGGAAATCAGAAAGAAATCTTTTGGTCTTAGAAAAGTAGAAGCAGATAAGAGAAACCACAAATTTGGAAACTGCACCACCCTCAATAGACCTTTATCGTTCTTTTCTGGGTCAGATAAACATATACATAGTGCACAATAGATAGGAACAGTGGGAGGAGTTCTATTAATGCTATCCCACATTCCTAACAATCAATCTCTTGGCAACCAACCGGATGCCTGCATTTTGCTGATAATCATATACATCCAGACCAAAATGTCCATCGACAAAGCATCCCGGAACAAGCAAGGAATCAAGCTCTGCGGTATCCACTTTGCTAAACACTAGCTTGTGGACGCTCCCTGAGGTTTCTCTCTGAGATATCTCTGTTGTATAGATGGCACCGTCCCCAACTGCCATGGTGGGTATGCTGCAAAAGATTAACCAATCCCCGAATGATTTCAATGTCAGAAATTACAATCAAACTGCGTTAGTGATGAGAAAAACAAACAACAAAATCACTTACTTGAGCCGAATTGCAGGTGAAGGATTGGAGTTTGAAAAGAAGCCGTTCTTCCTGATCAGCACAGGCCTCCACTCAGAGCTGCTCCCATTGTCTAGAGATGCTTTTTGGGCAAGTTGGTCACATTTTTCCAGCACCTGACATAGGAGGGGGGGTGCCTCAACCACAATACTCAACCGTGGCCGTCCCGCAAGGTTAACAAACCGCGAGCTCACCCCAAAACGAACCCTCATATTAGCACAGCACAACTGTAATGGATCATCCCCGTGAAAAACAGCAACCTTATGACACCCTCGGAAATATGGAACAAGGGATGCATGGATCAACAATGGTGACACTTGATTGGGTTCCAAGAAAGAATTCCGTTCTAACACAAGAGGAGGAGGTGGAGGTGCCTCCATGTTAGAGAGCACTCCGCATGTGTTTGAAACAGGATTTTCTTCGTCCACTGCGGAGGAGGCTCGCGTAGGGTCTGTTCTCATTTGATCGATAAGCTGAGAGAAGCCGATAGGATCAGCATTTGGCATCATTGATGATGTATTTGATTCAGGAGGAGCAAAAACCTTTGTGGGCTCACCATTCCCAGGAGATGATGATGATGATGGAGAGATTGATACCCCCTGAATCCTAACACCCAGGGAAGGCGTGCTCGTTCCTTTGGGGGGTGAATTCCCGTTTGTGCGACTTCTCGTAGTCATATTTGGAGAGGCCAAGCTGTTGATTGATAGTACCTCCGGAAGGCTTGACTCCTGCAAAGAGTTTCAAATTCCAATTTACTTTCAATAGACAGAATAAATCATATCATTAACCACTCTTCACCCGCACTACCGAAAAATAATTATATAAAATGTCTAGTGTTGTTGCTAACCTCTAAATAAATCCAAGAGAAAAAAGCTATACCACGCAACTACAAATAACAAGCCTATTCACAAAAATAGCAGCAGAATCTGCACATGTGACCTGCATAGCACATGACCAAACTGCGCTCTCTAATTTATGACAAATAGGATATGTGTGTGAACTGAGAACCCATCAGTAATTTGTTTAGGCCCCAGAGGAAAGTCAGTTATGGAAATGGAGCAAGCATGTGCTAAGAAGAGACAGAAACAATGTGATAGAAAGCAGCAGATGGTCTCTTGCAAGTTATAATGATAGATGGTAAATGACGAGTAAATGACATGGACTTAGACTTAAGAGAGCTAAGCTCAAACTTGCCTACAGTAGTACCGTTATTATGTTACTTGAAAGGAAACAGGTTCCAAGTTTTACATGCACGCTGAAAGCAGAAGCCTACAACTTCTTTACATAACCAAAACTTCCTCGATTGATTGACCTTTTAGAACAGGAGTACATGATGATCTTCAAACCATTAAGAATAGTTATAACTCATAAAAAAGGGCTTACCAAGAAGAGTACTGTTGCACAGTATTTGAGAACTTCCAGATTCATTCGAACATCTTCCAAACTCCTGTCACATAGACCAAAGTCAGAGTTCTATGCATTGTCAAATATTTGGAGCCCATGATTAATTGGAAGCTCAAAAAAAAAAAAATTTGAGAAAGTTAACTTGTATTGAGTTTAAGAGAGTGCAAATGAAACACCCCATGAGGGGTGGACTTTACATCTATTGGAAGTCAAAAATTTGTGATGCATATTAAAGGAAAATGATAAGTCGGATCACCAAAAAAAACTCTATACATGTGGTTTAGCATATCTGGATGCATGGAGTGGTCTGATCACCACGTGAATGGCTTTACAGATACTCATACCTTAACCATTGTTACAATCCCTCTTTGAAAATATATAACTATAACCCCCTACCAAAAAAGAAAGAATCCATAAAGTTGAACAACCAGTGACCACTAAACAACACTAGAGAAGATTGACTTTAGGGTGCCCCAGCTTTTTTATAGTACCATCACATATGACAGATGATAGCTGTCTTTTATTACTTTAGACTTGAACAGGGGAGAATCACAGGTGCTAAGAATAAGCAAAAAGGAGAGAATTATACTTATAAAATTGATCATATTTAAATTCTACGTTCTATTATAGTTACGAGCTTCTAAACAGGAAGATAATAAAAAGTGAACTAAAATATATACAATAATAGAGAAGGAAGAAAAAGCAACACACACAGAGTACCCCATACCAGTTTATTCATCCGGTTGTACAGTGTTATTATGTAAGGACTTTATCAGGGGAAGGGGGGGGGGGGGACATAAGTTCAATTGATTTTCAAGTAAGAAAGTTTCACAATGTTACAGAAATGGCATGTTTGCTATCTATTTATCCCAGGAGCAATAAATGGACATGAAATGCTTCCACCATAATATCTACTGAAAAGCATGAAGCAAGAAGCCGGTATGCATATAATGATGGGGAACCGATCAATGCCAAAAATGAAAAATCAACATGCAATAAAAAGTGAATTCTCGATGTTCACCTTCTGAGAGTCTGACCTATCATAAGTGATATTTTCACAAATTTTCTCCATACATTTTGCATACAAGTGATTTCGCATATAGGAATTCAGTTCTTGAATTCTAAGCTATAGCTCAAGCCAGATGGAGAAAAGAATAGAGAAATTTATGCTAGTGTGCCTCTAAAATACCATTATTTAAGAAATTCCCTCAAAAAATTTTGATTTTAGGTTCCTACCCATATTTTTTAAAAAAATTACTTTTCCCATATTGCCCCTACTTTGGACCTTTAAGGTCCAAGTTGTTCCGAATATCAACTTTGGACCTTCAAGATTTGAAAATCGTTTTTGTTCACATAACTGTCTCAAATCAACTTCAAACCTTGAAGGTCCGAAGTTGATTTATAATATCTTTATAATGGACGTTATTTCAAAAGGTAACATATGTGATGATACTATAATTCCAAGTAATAACCCATTATATTTCAAAAGGCATACCCATAACAGGTAAAAATGACAGTTGTCCTTTGAAGCTATAACAATCTCATTGGAACTTCAAGATCCAAAATTGATTTATATGAATGAAAACCAACTTTGGACCTTCAAGTTCCGAAATTGATTTATATGAACAAAAAGCAACTTCAGACTTTCAAGGTCCAAGGTTCAAAGTAAGTTTATGAGCAAAAAAAGATTAAACTTCAGACCTTCAAGGTTCCAGGCAAAGGAAACTTGGTCAAAAAAACAACAAAGACAAAGAAGAAAAGAAAAAAAAAGGGTATGAATGTTAAAAAAAATAGAAAAATTGTTCTTTTTTTTTTTTTTTTTTTGGGGTGTAGGGAGGGTAAATTTTCCCAAAAGAATAATCAGCCAAAATTTCAAGCACAAAAATTCCTCTGTGAGAAGAAAAGTTTTTTAGAATGCATATGGTTAAGGCTTGGCTAGATGTTCAAAAATCAGGGGGAAAATACAACAAAAAAAAAATCAAATTCAGAGGCCTGATCAGAATATTCGCTATGTGACAATACAGCCAAGACTTTTCATATATCAAATCAAAGTAGAGCTTCATGCATCTTCCTTGCAAGTAACAGAACTAGTTTGCAGAAGATGCTGATCAAACGTAACGGTTGTTCTCATGAGGCACTAAATCCCCAACATACATGGAGTTCATTTACATTTCCCTCTTTCTCTATTCTTTTTTATGTTTTCATTCCAATTCCCCTCTAATAAGATTTCTCAAAAATAACAGCAAATGACCTTCCTAGTCATATCATCAAAAGAAATTCTACCTATGTGCCAAGAAGACCTGAAAATGAGCATACAAAACAACTTTACAAACAAATGAAAAGTTTTTTTCTTTTTTTGGGTAAATCAATTGGGCTAGAGCCCTACCACTTTTCTATTATATTCATATGAAAAATTTTACATCGGAAAATCAGAGATATCAAAGGCAAGGTTTTGGAGAGAACCTTCAATAGTGCTTGTAAGAAAGTATAAGCTTAGTTCTTTCATACAATCAGCAATAGGTCATGCAGCCATACCCTTGTCCATGTAAGTAGCTCTTACTAAATTTGCTTAGTGTAACAAATCTATTCTGCCTGACATACTTGTTAGTCCCCAAGTTTGCAACCAAGAATGAAATCCCATTAGCTATTCATGACCAGGAGGTGTCCAATGGAGCTAGACTTCATAAGCAGTCAAGCATGAAATTAGCTCCAAGGAAATGTGTTGTATCTGTGTCTGACCACAATCATGAAGTCCATATCCTACACCTGTTCTTTTTTCTCATAATTCCTTAAAGACGGTCTGAACAATATAGTTCTTGTCAACATTTAAAAATTCGGCCTGCCTAGGTGCCTTTGGGCTACGTGACACCTAGGGCGGGGGCCCTACACTAGGAGACTACCTTTTGGGCCAAGGTGCCGACTAGGCAGGCACCTCGTTAGCTCTAATCGAGGGCCGAAATTAGCCCTCAGTCAACTCTGATTAGGTTTCAAAAGATCAGCGTATTTCAATTTTGGGTTTAAGGTTTGGTAATATTTTTTATTGGGTTTGGATTTATTTGTTATTCAATTTTAGTTTCTTTTTTTTTGGGGTTTGGTTTTGTTGTCCCTTTTCAAGATTAGCTTTGGGTTTGAGTTTATTAACATTTAATTAAGGTTGGGTTTAGGTTTTCTAATTTTCTCTTTTGAATTTTGATTTTCATGACTTTTGGTATATGATGATCAATGTGGATTTTGGAGTATGGACTGATTATGGTATATTTGCATGTAATGATATATTGAGTCATTGACAGTAATGTAAGTATTCAATGGTCCATGCAATTTTGTATGACTAATACTAAGTCTCAAGTCGGAACTCTGAACTGTAACTATTAACTTATTGTATTCCAAGTTCAATTTCAATTTTTGGCAAGCTTCAATCATCTAAAGTATTATTAATTCAAGTTTTAAAATCATGTGTGCGTGAGTTTGAAATAGGACCAACTTTAAATGTTTTTTTTATTTATTATATTGCATAAGTCTTCTTTTCTTTTTTGGGGGGCAGGGATCCAATCTCCAAAAATAATAAAAAATAAAGAAAAAAAGAAAAATAACCACCCTTGAGGCTCCAAACACAGCCTCTTCGTTTTTGGGTGCATCGATCATGAGGCACCCATCAGGTCCTCTAGCCGCATATGCGGCTGCCCTCCAAATTTTAAAACACTGGTTCTTGTTTAAATTTGCTTTACAAACAGGGGTATTATGTCAGTTTACTAGTGATGTTCCATTAAATTAACATGTCACAACATTTAGTTTTTTTCTTTGTGTGCGTGTAATGGACCAGAATAAAGGTTCAAGGAGACCTAACCAAGCATAAGAAAGATAGGTTGATGGTGGTTTCAGCAGGCCTTGCCTCACATAAAGCACAAGAATTGGGATAGTAAATCAAGTACAGTGAATGTGTACAATGAAATACAGGAGATTCAAGCAACGATATAATACGCATATAATTGCACACAAAGAAGCAATCTCCTCAATGGACAGGCTCAACATGATTTGAATTCCCAAACACAGAAAGGTTCACATGATGACCAGATCTTAAATTGCCAAGAGATAGATGCATGTTACTAAACGTACATAACTCTCACATTTGTCCACTTTGTTCCCAGTACGTGCCAACTAATCCTAATGATGGATCCGGAAAAGCCACAAAAAAATATCAGGATGTGATGATCAATAGAGATTACAATTGCACAAAGGCTACAAAGGCCACATTCGAACACAGGAAAATATGTTTTGAGGAATTGTTGATGCACGATCACGAGCTGAAAAAAATACACCAAGAGCACAATTTTTCTTTTTTCTTTTTTTTGGTGAGAACTCTTGGTTCAATGGTTTGTGTGAGTGGAGGGGGCTTTTTATTCTAATACTTTCTACATCCTTTCCTAATATACTTGTTATTACTCATGAATAGAAAGGCAAAATTCTAGTGCAGAATCAGCTGAGTTTTCGAGAAATGCTTGAGCCAGATGAGGTGAGAAAGAAGAAAAGAACGACTCACCTGTGCTTTTGCTGCCCGAGGCCAAAGTAAGTAGCCAGAGAAGCCATCTGCAGAAATCAAATGAAAATGCCAAAAATCAGCGTGTTTTTACCAACTCATGAGGAATATAAATGGGGAAGAGAGTAAAGGACCTTCATATTTCCAGCTCTCCTGCCAAATTTTTGGGTCAACAAAGCCAAAGAATCAATGAGGGCCTTAGGCTCCGGAGCAGGCCGTCCAATATCCGCAAAGGCCTCACGAATGCGCGCACAGTCAAACCTCACTATGTTATGTCCCGCCCACACCCTCCCTGTTTACACATCACATATCAATGGTGAAAGGATGTCATTCAATTCATTGCACTTGGTTGAGCAAAGCAAATCGAATAGTATAAAGGAGGAGAAGCAAAGTGACCGACCATGGAGAATGTCATAGACACGGTCAGCGATTTCTAGGAACGTGGGAGCGGTGGCGACCATGTCCCTGGTAATCCCATTGCACTTGACGGAGGTGGGAGAGACAGAGGAGAGGTTGGAAGGCCGCACCAGCGTGGAGAAGCTCTCAAGCTCAACCAGTTTCTTAGGGCAAACCAGGATAGCCCCAAATTCCAACAGCTCAAACTTCTGGGCCCCATTGCGGAAGGGCACTGTCGTTTCCAAATCGAAGAATACTATCTCCGACCGATCATTAGCATTGCTATTGCTATTGATGCTGTTGTTGTTGCTCCATGAAGCCATTCTCCCTCTCTCTCTCTCTCTCTCGATTAAATTGAAGGAAATGTCCTGCTCTGCTCCGCCTCTCTCCCCTTATTAGAGAGTTTGAAAAGAACTGTTCGCGTCAGCTTTGAATCTCTGTACAGATTGAAAGAAGAGACATGTATATATATGCAATAGCGACGAGAATAGGAGGAGCATGAGAGATGGTTTGCTTGCTTTATAGTTCTTCGTCTGGTTCATGGAGACACACGCACGTATTCCAAGTTTGAAGAGAAGGGCAGGGCAGGACAGGGCCGAACGAGGAAACCTAAACCCTATCGAGACTGAGTAGTGTCGGTGGGTTCAGGACACGGCACTCAATCTTAACGGAATCATCATCCTTCCTCTCTCTCTCTCTCACACTCTTTGGCTTCTTTCACAACACTCTTTCACCCATGTTCATTTAGGCTCTAAAGCCCTCGGGAGCATGAAATCTTTTGACATAAAATGATCATACATCCATCCCATACTAGGGTATGGTGACTCGGATCTCCAAACTTGCTTGCCAAGTCAGAAGCATTTCGAGGACGGGAGTTACAAGCAAGGCCGCCCTTCCTCATTAGTCTACTTGAAAATAGGAATATGCATAACACTCGAATAAAGTTGAAACGACGTTGGCACACCATGCAAACTTTTATACACGTATGGTTAGTACTCAGTATAGTAAGCCCCAAATTTCGCCCAAGCTTAGGAATAACTGAGACATCAACACTCTTGAGGGTGAGGGGTGACACCATGTAACTCCACGTGTTCTCCTCAAATTAGTTAGCACGTCAATGTATCCTTGTGATCCTCGTGTTTTTCTTCAACACCGACCGAATTAGCTCTTTAAGTTGCTTTCTTTGAATTAATAAAGATCGTGTGGACGTCTCTTCCTTTCTCCTTAAACTTCTCAATCACTTGCCTTGATAGAAAAATAGCCTTAATTGTTAACCTCCCTGGGATAAAATCGGATTGATTTTTTGATACACTCATTTTATGTCTTAGTTGTTGCTTAATCACTCTCTCCCACAGCTTTATATTGTGACTTATAAATTTGATCTCTCGATAGTTCGTACAGTTCTGTATGTCTCATTTGTTCTTGTTAATAGGCATCACAATACTTTTTTTCATTCGTTTGACATATTATTTGTTCTCGACATATCGTTGAACAGCTTGATCAAATAGAATATGTCAATCTTTGTTGTACACTTCCAATCCTCAATCGGGATACCATCTAGTCCTAAAGCCTTTCCTGCCTTCATTCTTCTCAAACCTTATTTTATTTCAGATATCCTAATGCTATGAATATATCTATGACCTACAACCTCATTTATATCAAATGTTTCTCTTAATGTTGTGCTCCCAAAGTATTCGTCATTTAAAAATCTTGGAAAATAAATTTGACTCTTTTTGTTGACCTTGTCATCCTTTACCAACACCATTTGATCTTCATGTATTTAATATGATTTAGATCATTGCACTTGCTTTCTCTCATTTTTGCTAGTTTAAAGGCATCTTTTTCACCTTCTCTTGTCCTAAGTTTATTGCATAGATCATTATATGCCTTAAATTTAGCATTACTATTATCTTAGTGTCGTTCTTATTTTTTTATATTCTTTAAATTTTAGTTATTTATATTACTTTGTCAACCTTTATAAGTTGTTTTTCGCTAATAGCCTTTTGAACCTCATCATTCTACCACCAAGTTTTTTTATTGAAATTTATTTTCTTTCTAGATTTTTGATAAAAACTTATTTTGCCCCTTTCCACTTAATTTCCAATAGACACATTGTGTTAGCTCTCCTTCATCTCATTGTATCCACGAACTCCACACTCTTACATGTTAGAGTTCCTATGTTCTTTGTGGCTAAATGAATCATGTTCTCTTGGACTAGCTTCTTTACTCGTGCTCATCCAAAATAGCGGGGGAACCCTTACCTACTTCACCGCAACCAGGTGCAATTGCGGTGTGTCATCTTCATAGAACACCTTAGCTAACCGTTGCTCATTTTTCATTGCGCCTTGATTTCGATACAATGTGTCACTTACAGGGAAAGCCCTAACATGACTATATAACATAGGTACAGAGATTCACGAAAAGATGAGGCAAAGTTTTATGATGGCTGCTTTACTTAACACAACCCTCGTCTTTTATCGGAGCTTGGACTGGGCATAGCAATGTTATTGATATTATTTCATATTAAATAAGTTAATGCCAATTTTAAAATTAGAAGAAATAGATGGGATGGAATTTGATTGTATCTATATATTTTTAGGGAAATTATCATAAATATACCCTAATTTTTGCCTAACTAAAAAAAACTCCAAACTTTCATAAAGCTTGTCCATATTCTTTTTATTCAATTTTGGCTTTTTTTTTTTTGACTAAAGCAGCCTTCACGATAGTTGTATTATCGTGAAGCCTATGCATCACGGTACTTAAAGTACATTGATGACTAAAGCTTATATTTTAATAGGTTATTGGAAGGTAATGTCTTGAAGACATTACGGTACTTTAAGTACCGTTATTCATAAGACATCTTATATGATACTTAAAATGCCGTGAGGAGCCAAGACCAGCAGCATAAAAAGAAGTGAGGACGGCGTGATTGAAGGAGGCGCCTCCCGTTAAATATTATATTTAATGGCTAATAATGATTGTGACCTCTTTGTATAACAAACAAATGGTCTCATCGTATACAATCCCAACAATAATTCTTGTTGAGCTTGATGTACGACCGATCAAATTATTTTATTAATAATGTGGATAAAGCAGGTAATTACCATGTGGAGATCAATCCTTCCACAATTAGAAGGGTGGATAGGGAGCTATCGAATTTGGAAACCCATCTTATTCTTGTATTTTAAAGTTATTTATGTAATACCCCATGCTTTGCAAGGTTCAAAATATGTCCCCTATATTTTATATTTTGTATTTATGTGCCATTTTTTAAGAACTTGTCTAGTGTTTCAATTTTCTTCTTTTTTTTTTTTGCATCGTTTTGAATTCAAAATTCATACATCCAATAAAAATTATATGAAATAATTCATAAAATTAAATTGACCAAAATATCTATACATGATTTAAATTATTTTGGTTACATTAGTTAATTTTATTTGTTTAAAATTATGATTTTTGTATTATTTTATAGTTATATACTAGGGAGAATGAAAATGCAAGCTAATATGATGTATAATAAAAGAGATTGCATACGGTGAGACTATTTACCATGGTTACACAATCACTCTTAGCCATTAGATATCAATTTGGATGGGTTGGAGTGTGTCATAAAATTTGAGATCTTTTTACTTTTTATTATTTATGGAACTTTGAGTCTAGTTAATAACACACCAACTACAAGATATAAAATCTGGCAAGTGCTTTGTGTCATCCTTGTAGTAAAAGTAAATAGTTTATTTATAGATTTTCTATAAAAAAAATATTAATATCATAGTAAAAAATGAGAGTTGAAAGCAAAATAAAAAATATAGGAGATGGTTTTTGAATTCTACATGGTATATTCGTTGATTATTTATTTTTGGTACAACATCATCATCCGTCGATAGATATGAAATCGGATGGTTGGTGAACGTATCATTCATTATGGAGCCATAGAAAGTTTTAACAAAATTATAGGTTCACACGCAAGATCCTCACCAATGTTATGGCGAGGAAGAGAAGCCGATTTCTCATTCATCCCATCCCCATCCCCATCCCCATCCCCATCCCCATCCCCATCCCCATGTGTTTATTTGGTATGAGTTGTAAATAAGATGGAGAAGAAGGGGAATGTTTATTTATTATGAGTAGTAAATAAGATGGAGAAGGAGAAGGTGATGTGTTTATTTAGTATGAGTAGTAAATAAGATGGAGAAGAAGGGGAATGTTTATTTATTATGAGTAGTAAATAAGATGGAGAAGGTGAAGGTGAAGGTGAAGGTGAAGGTGAAGGAGAAGGGTTTATTATGAGAAATAAATAAGATGGAGAAGGAGAAGGGGAATATCAAGTGGAGTGGAGTGGAGAGGGTTAGGGTGCAAGAAAAATGAGCGAGGGAGGTGGTGGGAATGGTTCTTCGTCTTCGTCTTGGGGTTGGGGTTGGGGTGCGGGTGGGGGTGCGGAAGAAGAGGAAGCAGAAAGAGAGAAGCAGAAGGAGAAAGCACGGGTGAGCAGGACATCTCTGATCCTGTGGCACACCCACCAGAACGATGCATCCTCCGTCAGGAAGCTGCTTGAGGAAGATCCCTCCCTCGTCAACGCCAGGGATTACGACAACCGCACCCCTCTCCACGTCGCCTCTCTCCACGGATGGATTGACGTCGCCAAGTGCCTTCTCGACTACAAAGCCGACGTCAATTCCCAAGATCGATGGAGGAACACCGTATGTCACTTCTCTTCTTCTCTTTGCATTTTTATTCTTCCTTCCTTCCTTCTGATTGGATTCTATGTTTACACTTTTTGTATCAAAACCTATCTTTGCAGCTAAATCTTTTTCACAGAATCGTACACTTAGAACTGAAAATTAGATGGATGAATTTCGTTATTTTATTTCGCTGGATGTGTGGCTCGTTGGCGATGACAAGAATAAAGGGATCAGACTGTTTGCAACAATGGTGGACACTGTTGTTATATCTTAATGTGAACCCTTCAACTGTACCAAAACACCTATGTTACCCAAAAAAATAGATAAAAGAAGTGGTAATGGTACTTCGACAGGGATTCCTTGTTTATACATCCGAAATGCCAAAGGGGCATTGTTTGCTTCAGAATTAGATCTGCTTACAGCTGACTTGGGTGGTGCGGGGAGCCATTTGCTTTCCTTTACTTGAAATCGATGCCTATATCTGCACTCCTTGACTTGTTAACTGTGGCCAGTTTCTGATTTGAATTTCCAGATTTAACTTTTGATACGATTCTGGTGACTCTGTGAAGCCAATTGATCTCAATTCCCTGCATGACCTACTATAGTATTAGCAACGAGGTCACAATTCACAGATACAAAGTTCCTACAAACCTTCACTCTGAAGAACAAGGTCTCACCTTGTCTTCGATTTGGATGTGAAGTTAACACACTAATTATTCATATGGCAATGGGCCTCAAGGCTGAAATAGAAATTTTTGAGCTTAGATTCCATGCGGTTTATGTATGGGTTCTGTGTTTTTTTTCCCCAAAAATTTATGCATTGCGTTGTATAGTGATGTGGTGTCAAAACTTAGCCTTTCACTCACCCCATTTTTTGGCTGTCTGGCCATATTGGGCCACGGTTGACTAAGTCCGAGTTTAAAATGAGAAGTATGGGGTGGGGGAATTGAGTTAGTGGGCTTGAGCGAGTCCTGATTCAGGAGTTGGTTAACTGAGTTTTAAAAGATTGTTATATGTGTGCCACCTATGTTTGGATGCATGTTGCCACCCTTTGCTCATAAATTCTTATATCTATCTTCATTGCCACATACAGATTATTTCCATCACAAACTCCATGAGTATGAGTTTTGGGATTGACTTCTGCCATAAGTTGTCCACGTCTCCAACAATTATTTCTGGGAACCATTTCTACTCTAAATTGCTTCACTCACTTCATCTTCACACAATTTTGTCTGTTATGGTTCATTCAACAAGGGTTATTTTAAATTTCTGTTTTGTTTAATATCTTATTGTCATAGAAGTCTCTCTCCTTCCCTCCCTCCATCTCTCTCTTGCTCACTTTTCTTTTGAATTTTTTTGGATTTTAAATGCGATAATAATGGCCTAGCAAGGGGCCTGGAAATATTGTCTTTACCAGCCTCACATACTGAATCTAGTACACCGCACTACCTGTCAAGGTTTTTCTATTTTAAGGAAAACACTATCCAACTATGGAAATCAAGTCCTTCACTCATTTCTGATTCAGACACTATCATCAAAGAACCATACAGGTTTCAGGATTTTGAGTTTAAATTTTAAGAATTTTTATGGCTAGTGATGCATAAAAAAAGCTTTTTTTTGATAAATATCTTGGGTTGATACATCAGTAGGTTCATTCTTGGAGGAGGTTCCAGACGTTTGGTTTTCGTTACCACTTACAGGAAATTAATCCTTCCACACTCTTCTTCATGTTCTTGTTGTGAACAAATCCCCCCCTCCAATCCTCAAAAGTTTTTCAAACATGGTTTCTAATCCAAGCACTGTTAGAATTGAGACTGGAGTCACTTTTAACTCCGAACTTCGTTGATTCTCAAGAGAATGCATATATTGTTTCATAGATGGTTAAAAGTGATACAAGCAAAGTGCAACAATGCTTAAATGCTTAATTTTTTTTTTTTTTAAAATGCCTAGATGCCCGTATTAAGTTTCAAGGGGCTGTGTAATCTCCCTGATTGATAAGCTCCTCTCTAAATGTCTCTTCCCTAGTCTAGGATTTGGAAGCCTTCTTGGTATTCCCAAAAACATCATGAAAGGAGATTGCCAGCAGGTCACACCCCATAAAAATTCTACCCAAGGACTTGAAATTTATGTATTCAAAATATTGATCTCTCTCACATATTGATGCTCTTCTCCACTAGTTTTGTTCTTTCAACTTCTTATGTCACATCTTAAGGGATATATTAAAGTTGCCTTTCTTTATTTTGCATGCCATATTCACTAATTTAATCTATCAATTATTCCTTGCAATTTGATGTTGGTGGAATAATTACATTTAAGTTTTGACTGATTTTCACATCAGATTTCCCTTACATCATCGCAAGGTTAATTTCATAGTCATCACGATTTATAGCCTTTTTTTGCTCTTTAAAACAATCTTCTCTGTTGAACAGCCTCTAGCTGATGCGGAAGGAGCTAAGAAACATGACATGATTGAACTCTTACAGTCGAATGGTGGCTTGTCCTTTGTAAGTTTAGAAATCTCATCCATTTCTATCACTTTCATGAAATGTGGCTTTTTACATGAAAAATTGTTTTAAAAATCCAAGATATAACACAGCACATGACTTCAATATTCTTTTTCATTTTGGAAGACTTGCAGTCTCTGGTCTAATTCACCTTAATTGTATTCTATCCCTTTTCCTCTGACATTTTCATTGAGAAGGAAAATATGGCTAGTTTGTGGTACTTTTATGATTTAAAAAAAAAAAGATAATTTGTGAGGTTTTTCACAACATCCAGGGACTTCTGTTATATTTCTCCGTTGTTGTTTGGTGATAGAAATTCTAGAACATGTGTTTAGCATGGTTAAACCTGTAGCAGTAGATTGGCGTCGTCGTTCTTGTTTTTATTACTCATATTAGTACTATTATAATGTAAATTCTACGAAACATATTTGTTTCAGTACGCTATTTATGCATTATCAAGTTTCCCATAAAGTGCATTTGTGACCTTTTCCTGGCTCTTTGGAATCTGGTTATTCATTTATTTAATTAGTTCTGATAAGCACCAAGATGCAAGTGAATTCATCAAATTCAAACCAAGACCGTGTGCCTCCAATTGCTTGATAATGTGGTGGGTGGTAGCTCCTTTTGATAACTTGCAGTTTAGTTAACCATAACGAATGATTTTTGGTGCCATTCCCTAATCAAATCCATGAGAGAATCATGAAACCCATGAGATTGATCTGGGTGCTTCTACTATCTTACTGCTGGATTGTATATTATTTTAAAATTGTCACAATCAGAGTGGACTGCTAAAAAACAATAAAGAATAAAATTAGTGTTTCATTAGTGATATTTGGTGCCCAATACTCAGTTGTTTTGAGAAGCGTTCACTCTAGGGGCAAGATCCATATTTTCCGATGCTGGTAGGGTTGGTATTTTCTTTTTCTTTTTTTGTTAATGTGGTTAGGGTTTATCTCTTAGTTAACTGCAGGGTTAATTTGGTCTACAGAGATTTTAGGGGTATTTAGGTCATTTGGTGTTGTAGATATTTTGAGAGCAATTTTCTTTCCTATTGCAGAGATTTTTTCTTTCTTGTTTATAATTACATAATCTATTGCAAACAAAAAGAGAGATGGAAGAAGAATTAAATTTTGGGTCTTATGAAAAGATCGTTTTGGGTGAACTCCCTTTCAGACTTAGTGAGAGTTTATTCTATTTAATATTTCTGGTTTATTTCATTTTCTTCCTCTTCTCCTATGTCCATGTTCATGCTACTCATATATGCTATGAGACTTGGTAGAAGCCAGAGCGATATGCTCATGGCCCTCTCATATTGTACTCATTGAAACTTGAAGTTACAAGATGTATCAAAGACACAAAAGGAAACTTGAAGTTGGAGGAGCTTCTTGATAGATGCAAAGGAAGGATCTACATGTACTAGAGAATAATGAGGCTACTAGAAACAATTTTTTCTTTTTTGAAAGTGCATACTAGAAACATTGTTCCTGCACAAAGAACAATCTCCTCTGGAGTATTATCAAGAACATACATACCCTTGAAACTATCACTTTTGTCGTGCTTTTTGAAAACCACTCAGATTATCAGAATGCTTTTCTTCTGTTTCACAAAAGAATTAGGGCAGAAAAAAGGGATGTGTATTGGCATATCCTCCTCGGTAGAATCTTCATATAGCTCCAGTTTCAGATGAAATTTTACTTCGTAGTCTCTCTGTGATTACTCCTTGTCAAACAGTGTGCTTTTCATGAGGAATTGGGCTTGGGTCAAGACAGTAGAGGCTGGGTTTTCATAGCAAAACGTCTCTAGTTCCATTCCTATGTAACCTTGTCAAAAAAAAAAGAAGTGTGCTTTTCATGGGACATGATTTTCTATGAAGTTGGAGGAGCTTCTTGGTATTGACTTTTTACTTTCTGATTTATTATAGTAGAGAATAGTTGTGCATATTAAGATTTTTTTTTTTTTGTCTGTTGAAGGGACAAAACGGAAGCCATTTTGAACCAAAACCAGTTGCACCTCCTCTCCCAAAAAAATGTGATTGGGAAATTGATCCCTCAGAATTGGATTTCTCAACCTCAACTATTATTGGAAAGGTTGGTTACGAAATTTGATTTTTATGCTGGATGTATGTTATGTGTTATTTACATTTTAAATGAATAGAACAAAAGCAGATTCATTTGAATGAGCCTCCACAAGAAGAAAGGAAAGTCAGCTTCACTAAGGTTATGAATCAATATTAATCACAAGTGAGATGAACAGTAAAGCAAAAACCATATCTAGGGCTGATAGTAGAAGTGCTACTTTTTAAGGAAAACTCTTATTAGGGATAATGATACAGAGAAGATAGAATACATTATCAAAAGTTTTGTCCATACTTGATTTATATACCAATCTTGTGTTTACTTGTTCTACTGTACCCACTTCTTTTCACCTATAGCCATTTTATGCATGCAGGGATCTTTTGGTGAAATTTTGAAAGCCTGTTGGCGTGGAACTCCTGTTGCTGTTAAACGGATTTTACCATCACTTTCAGATGATAGATTGGTGACGTGAGTGTCTATTCTATATTACTGTGCTGTTTATTCAAGTATTTTACTCTGTAATGTATTACTTTTTCCATCTTTGGAATCAGTTTCTGAAAGACTTCTTGCCTTTGTAAATTGTGAATATTTTACTATTTAAGGATAGCTGGATCATCAACTCGGTTGGAAGAGGTTTATTTAAATTAGTTCAGTCTTACAATTGATAAATGCTTTCTTATCATAATTACCCAATCCAGCTACTGGGAAACACCCTCTTTCAGCAATAAATGCTTTCAAAGCTATTTCTATAGATTTCATTACAAATGCATGCCCTGTTCTTGCTACTCTTTGCTCAGGTACTTCTAATTAGTGTGTTAAAGGCCATACCTGAATGGCCAGTTCTAATGGTTTGGATGAGAACTTTCTGTCTTCCGGTTTACCTGGCCCCTGAATCCAAAATTCAGAGAAATTAAACCATTCAAAACCTCTTTGCATTTGACTGGTGGAACTGTTTGAACCAGTTTTCTATTCCTTTTCCCTTTCCTTTTTCTAGTTCTTTTTGTTACAATTCTAACAAATTGGGCAGGTTACCAGATTAGATTTGACTTGACTGACAGTATTTTTGGTTTATTGATACTGTTCTTGATTGTCTCTAATAACTAAGATCTGGAGTTGGGGCGCAATTTAACAGGCCTATCAACCCTTGTACTCTTTCATTAAGTCAGAATGCAAGATTTTAACTCTTCAAGCAGTTTCAATAAAATCATTAACACATCTTTCTAATGAGATATAAACATCAGATTGAGGTCTTATTTTGTAAATCAAAGTGTTCTTAGAAAAAGTATTAGCAAAAGAAGCTTCACAACAATAGTCTAAGTGTGATTGAAGCCTGTCCCAAAACATCTAAACTCACAAAATTAAAATGTTATTAGTGTTGCTCTGATGGACCAGGATCACTAAATGAGCTTCCATAGAAAATTGGCTTTGTTGATTCCATCTGACACTCCATTGCAGCTTGGGTTTCCTAGCTTATGGATTCCATTAGTGCTATCATCTTCTGTTCTCGTGCTATATTTTCTGACATGGTACCCTGAGTTTCTTTCCTTACAATTGTCCGTGATAAAACTGACCTCATGATACTCCCCCTGAGCACCATTGTGAGGACCTGTAACTTACGAAGTCATGTTGGTCCTCTGCATCCGAATCCTCCAAAATATTTCTAGTAGGTACTAATTCCAATGGACGTGCCCTGGATCCAACATTGCAGAGCTTCTTTTCCTCCTTGCCTATGGAATCTAATTAATTCCTAGCTTCACCATTTGCTCTATTGAAAATTTTACTTCATGACATGGGAGTTTAAGCAATTAGCAAGGATATTGAAAGTTTCTTTAATTTTTTTTTTTCTTTGTTCCATAAGTGGATTAATTTGCTGCCATAGCTTATAAACGTTTTATGCTTGAAAAGTGGAGAGGCCGTTTTAGAGATGTGGATAACTGTTACCATGACCTTAAAGAATTGTTGTTGGGATACTATTCATTTATGTACCAATTTATTCTGGGATTGGCTGCATTTGTAACAAGAAATATTTTCCGAACTCAATTCAACAAACTGGAATTTACTGCATTTATATCGCTTAAGTTGACTTTTTAAGATTCGCTTTTGACATTCAGAATTTTCATTGACCTCTTGTCTTCCATAAGAAGTTATGTAGTAGAACAATAGCTTTTATCTTACTGAAGTTGTAGCAGATGGAAATTTCTGACACCTGTATTTCTCATGGATCAGCCAGGATTTTAGACATGAGGTGAATTTACTAGTGAAGCTACGCCACCCTAATATTGTTCAGTTCCTTGGTGCAGTCACAGAAAGGAAACCTCTGATGTTAGTCACTGAGTATCTTCGAGGGGTACTACAATTTGTTTCAAGTTGTCAGATGCTTTCTGTTTTCTGTGTTTGAAAGTTCATAGTGTAAGAAACAACTACATTAAGGCTATTTTCCTAAAATTGTTTTGGTGACAATGTGTTATTTTTCAAGACATTCTCTGTGGTGTTACTTTTCCTTCCTTTTTTTTTTCATATATATTGTTAGCATTATTTCCTTAAATATTTGGAATCTACAATATATCTCATTTATAGAAATAAAATCCAGAAAAAAAAAAAGGTCCACTTTCGAATATATTTATTTATTTATTTGCATATACTTAGGGCGATCTCCATCAGCATCTCAAAGAGAAAGGCCCACTTAGTCCATCAACGTCAATCAACTTTGCTTTGGATATAGCTAGGTACTTTCTGCCTTTACATTTGGAGAAATATTTACTACTTCCCTCCCCTACAACCAAAAAAAAAAGAAAAAAAATTAAAAAAAAAAGAAAGGAATAAAACAACGATACAGCCTTTGGGATTATTGTATTGAAAAGAATTTACAAGTTGGTCTATTGTATTGAAAAGAATTTACAAGTTGGTCAATGAATGCAAACGCCGCATCTCTCTTTTCAGGGGAATGGCTTATCTCCACAATGAACCCAATGTTATAATTCACAGGGATTTGAAACCAAGGTAAGGTGCATCTCAATTGGAATTTCATCAGAATGCACAGATTGTTGTTCTAGTCTAGTAGCTATTATGTAGTTTATATTCAGCATAATGAAGTTAGGAAGTGGCAGATATTCAGTGGTGCTCCAGGATCTTGATACCGGTCTGAATTGGGCTTTAGATCATGATTGCTTTTCCCTAATGTGATTTTTGACTTTTTCTTGCATACTGTAACAAAACTGGAGTTTGAACCTCTCATGTATTTTTTAAAGGCTCAGAGTATGATACGACTTGCAGGAATGTCCTGTTAGTTAATTCCAGTGCAGACCATTTGAAGGTTGGAGACTTTGGGTTAAGCAAGCTCATCAAAGTTCAGAATTCTCATGATGTATACAAGATGACTGGAGAGACTGGAAGCTGTGAGTGCTAATAATTAAAGCTGTTATTGTAAAGAAAAGGGATAGAACTTTTTATGTTGATCTAACTGGTTTGTGTGTGATTCTTTTTCTGGAAAATAAAGATCGGTATATGGCTCCTGAAGTTTTCAAGCATCGGAAGTATGATAAGAAAGTGGACGTATTCTCATTTGCAATGATCGTATATGAGGTGATTGAACAATTCTATCACTATCAAGGTAGTGTAAGAGTGTACTTCTTCGCTATTGATCATAGAACCTGTAAATCTTGCTGCAGATGCTTGAAGGGGATCCCCCTTTTGCAAACTATGAACCTTATGAGGCTGCCAAGTATGTATCGGAAGGACGCCGGCCACTTTTCCGTGCCAAAGGATATATCACTGAGCTAAGAGAGTGAGTTCCTTGTAATTACGTTGAGACAATATAAAAATGATTGACTGCAGGATCATCTTCAGCTAACTCCTGCTCAAGGCAAACAAGTGAAGCTGCCGCCTGCATCGTGCTTTGGGGGGTTAGGTGGACTTCTTAGGATGGTCTTATTATATATGATCCAATTCTTAGCTTTTAACTTACAAGTCATGCCTGTAGTTACTGTATACACTATCACATGATAGATGTCCACCTCTTCCCTTTCATCCTCATCTCTAAATATTAAAATTTGCATATGTCATCCCTGTCATTAAGGCAAGAGAAGTAAAAATTTGCTGAAAAAGGAAAGAACAAAAACAGTATGAAATAATCACATTCTTGAATTGGTTAAGACTTGGAGAGCCCCATTAAAAGATTGTTATGCATGATAATATTTTGGATATTAGTTTTATATCTGACTTCAGTTGGATGTAAATGCCTGGTACGATTTCTCATTTATCAGAGTTGTCCTATGTACACATCTCTCACCTATTTCAACAAATACTGCTTTTGCATTTTGTGATGTCACGGTGATTCCCAGCTCCTGCAAAAAGCACTTGTGGGAAATTTGTATGCAGTTTAAGTTCCTATATATTTTCAACAGCGACACAATCTCTGATATGCAGCTTTGAGTTGTTAAATATTTTCAACAGCAAGATGTAAGCTCTGATATGCAGCATAACCTGATCTTACACTTTGGATCTTTCGTTACGCTTAAGAGTTTGTATTATTACATGTTGGGTTCACTTAATGGACGGTCTTGAAGATCCCAAGTTGATGGTGTTCTTATAATGCCTTGTGGATTCTACAGGTTGACAGAGAAGTGCTGGGCAGCCGACATGAACCAGAGGCCGTCATTTCTTGAAATCCTTAAGCAGCTTGAAAAGATTAAGGACAATTTGGCTTCGGAGCAACATCCCTGGAATATCTTCACGCCTTAGATGATCTTTGATTTGATTTTTTTTCTTTTTTTGGAAAATGTGTTGTATAATTAGAATTGGTTTGTATAGTTTCCCATTGACATGCTGAAAGAACAGGTAGTTTATGAAGAAAGCCAATTTATGATCATGGAGAAGGCCTATACTTAATGATTTTTTTGGGAAGTGAAGAATCCTAGAACAGCAAGCAGGAATGTGAGAATGGATTTGAACGTTTTTTTTTTTTGTCAATTTGCAATTCTGATAATGGGCACGGCAGTTGCCGTTATAGAAATAAGAAATATGATTCAATTTCCAATATATTATTTGTCAGCTTACCTGATTTACAGGCATGCTATTTTCTGCCCTGCCCCTGCCATCTAATTTAGTGTCTGCCAACTGTTTCCTTTGGCTTTGTGGTGATTTACATGTACAAGTGAGGTCATTGCACTCGTCTGAACAAACTCAACTGGAAATGACAGTAGATTCCATATTTTTCTTTTCCATCATGTAATCGTAGTTTTTTCCATTGATCAGCCTAGTAGCTCGTATAAGGTTTTCCATTTATCTTTGTTGCACTTTAATATGTAAAAGTTTAAGTGCAAGAAGTCAGTTTTTTTATATCTAAGCTTTAGAGCAGCACACTACTTACATAGGAACTAAGAATTCTTAGATGAATGTTGGGCTTTGATAATATACGGTTGGGCTTTTGATTTCTTTTAATTTGGTCGAATACAGTGTTCGGCTACACAGTGTTCGGCTACATGAACCGGCTGCAGAAACTATCCATGGGCCTGGTCCGGGCAACCTGTAACTGGTTCGAGTAACCGGCCCGAGTTAGGCTGGTACCTGCTAGACAAAAAATGTGTTAAAAAAATATTTAAAAATCAACAAATTAGGAAATATATGTTGAAAGTAATCGAACTAAATGATGTTGAAAAAGGAGTAAAAAAAATAGATTTTAAAAAATCAATTTGTCGTTGGGGGGATATTCATGGCCACAATACTTTTCCACGAGCACATGAATGTTAGAGATAGATTGATTTTTTTTTTTTTTTTGTTAATTCTTTTGAATTATTTTTTTAATAACCCGGACGCTTAAATCGTGGATAGGCCGGTTAGTTCAAGCAGACTCTTTCGATTAGTGTCCAATCTTCTCGATAGCTAAATCACAGATGTTGGGAGCTTTGTGCTCTATTTTTACGGACTCACCTGAAACATCAAACGGAACCTATCAATTCTCCCAAACCGGGAAACAATAGCAAGCTCCGCACGCTTCTCCTTGACATCATTAAAATCTGGGGAGAACTGTGAGTGAGAGAGTTCTAGTATTTACTTTTTCAGTTATTATTCACACAAAAAAAAATCAGAGTTAAAGTTCACCTCATCATACGGCCCACCTCAAGTCATGTGCAGCTACATCTAAGTCAATTGTTCAATCTCCTCATCTTGGTTAGTGCCACATGATGGATGTCGATACTAAAATTTTCAAGCAATTACCTATATGAAATATTTCATGCATTTCTTCTCGGTATAACAGAAGCAGTTAGTCACCTATTTCTATTTCCATTGGATGTAAGAAATGAAAACTTGGCTCATTACATTATTTGTTCTCTCTCGCTAAGTAGGTGAATGAATTGCAATAACTCAAACATTAGAAACAGAAGTTGAAGTGGGTTATTTCACGGACATTCCCTCATGAGGCAACCGTTAAAAACGAAGATAAACGCAAAAAGGATGAGCTTCCCAAACGGTATACTAACGTTTCTCATAAACAAAGAAAACAAACTCATCGCTACACAGACGTGATACTAACGTTTCTCATAAACAAAGAGAATAAACTCTTCGAGAAACAAAGGAATACATAATTACAACATATGGAACAAGGAATTACATCACTGTTCAGTGGTCAATCAAATACCTCCCTCTACGGAAAGAAGATGCAATGACAATGCCATCCACAAAAAGGGAAATAGAACAAGCCAAGTCTGAGGATGTGTATGTTTATATCTCCAAACAGAATAAGGCCTCAACACAACACGGGAAATAAAGGAGCCAAGTCAGAGGATGTATATGTTGAAATTTCCAAACATAAGATTGAAGGCCTTGCAGAAATGGGGTCTCTCTTGGGCCTTTTTACTAACTAAGCTGAGATAGGTAATTTCATGGACATTTTCTGAGACAACCATGACCTTTCTGGGTCTGGGTCTATAAACTGATGCATAACAAACTGGGTTACTTCTTCATCCATGAGTTCTCGAGACCATGAAACTCTTTTCGTCGGGTTACTTCCGGGACCTGAGCACCTGAAAGGCATGTTTTCTTTTCAGCTATGCAATTTATATTCGCAAGCAGAAATTTCAACATGAGATGAAATTCGAAGGGAATACACGAAAGGGAAAATATTGATCTAAAATACAATCTCCACAGAAAATTATCATGACTATATATATATATATATATATAAGAAAGTATACAATGAGACCATGTATCCCTAGTATAAGGTGGTCAAAATTAATCTTGACCATTGGATGTGAAATTAGATGGCTGCATTTATTACATTAGACTAAAGTTCAATCTGAACAAAAAAAACTTTCTACTAAAGTTGTAACACACCCAAGTCTATTATTATTTCACTAGTCCGATAGTTCAATAAG